ATTTACAGAACTTTGAAGTAGTGTTCTCTTAAGCTACTATACATACAGCAAATTGCTACGGCTTCTACTATATTAATATTTCTTCATATTAACATATTTAATATTTATTATCATAAAATCATGAGCATAAACAAATTAAACATACGTTCAGTTGTAAATTGCAATCTTTCAGAACGAAAATGAATAAAAATTTGCATGAATATTAAAATAATATTTGAATTATTTATTAATATGTTAATAATTACAAATAAAGCACGATTTTTTTTAAAAAAATCTCACATTATTTCAATAGTAAAATTCATTTTTTTTGTAAAATAACTATTCCTCAAATTTAGAAAGATTTCCAAAACTTTCTTGTTAGGTTATTTATTGCCTAAGTAATCTAAAAAATAGATTAAATGGTAAAAAAATATGTTAGAAGACTCGAGTACTCTAAGTAAGCTTTGTAGAAAAGACAGATTCAAGCCCCCATGCCTACTATCAACTGACATTAACGATATATCGTGAGTGATCAAACTCGTGCAGAGGTACTGTCACATTGATAATAAGACATGAGACCCACCACCAAAGGGAAGGGCCCCACATACAGAAGTCTGCGACATAGCTTGAGATATTATTATTTTTCCATTATTTTTCTCATTAAGGTAACCAGACTTCTAGAAGAGGAGGATAACCAAAGCACTCTAGGTGCACAACTCCCTTATACATCCCAGCTTAGTCATTTCCACTTACCAAAATAATAAAAAGTCCAAGAATATTTATTTTCATTGTTTGATGTTAAGTAAAAGTCTTCCAAGGCTTTTTTTACAAAAATGAATAAGAATAAAAATCTTGTATATAAAATATAAGTTTGAGAAAGTTATAATAAATATTAAAAGGAAAAAAAATTTGGAGACGGAGAGAAAAGAAAAAGTGACTTTATTTCTCATGGGAAAAATCATTAAAATATATACTGTAAGTCATTGTGATTATATGATGTAAAATTGTTTACGCGTTATAATCAATTAATCATTACGCGCATTACACAAATGTTGATCACGTTGGTTAATATTAGTTAAGTCATTCCGGAATTATGAATAAAAAAAAAATTTTGGAGGACGTAGTGGCGCAGTAGGTCACGTTACACTCTTTTCGTGTAAGTTTATTGGCTGGATTTTTTTACTTGTATTAATAAAGAATTCTTAAGATACAAAGTGTAAAAAAAGTGGAATCTGAAAAAATACTAGATAGGAAAATGAGTTTGTTAATCCGGAAATGACGCTCTTATGGTAGAAGTTGTGAAGACTAAATTTGTGACTTCCAAATAGTCTGTCGGTCTCTGTCCGTTGCCTTTCAACATACGTTAAGTACTGACATTTTAGTTATGTTTTTGAGATTTTAAAATTCTTCGCATTGAAAACAAAATTTCAAATTAATTTTCAGACTAAAACGCAGGAACAAGTATTGATACGAAATACAATCCATAAATCAGCCTATGATCATGTTATAATTGCTTTTTTTTTGGTACCTTTTTGACGTCGGTCAGAGACAAAAAGTGGAGGTTTACTACATGAATCTCATTCAATATTCGAAAGAATACCAGTTCGGGATGTGCTTTTAAGAAATCATAGAATGAAATGAATAATTTTAAGCGTGGCTATAAACAACTTGTTCTCCTTGACTTATGTTCTGGTAATCACCTGTATTCTCGCATACGGGGATACAAAAATAGGGAATAAGTAGAACTCGTTCTGTGTGCAGTTGTGGTAAAAATTTTTCTTACAGATCAGGCGATGACACTTTTTTGGAGAACATGGAACCTTAAATACAAGAATTCACGTACTGTACATTTTCCGTTTGAGATTTTAAAGTTGTATTCAGAAAAATGAGATCCTGAAAGATGAAACTTTAACAGTCATGAAATGTGTCACTGTCAAATGTTTTCTATTCGCGTTATAAACTATGTTTAGAAGCCAAGGAAGATCCTTTTAATCCGACTAAAAAAATTTTATCTGTAATTTCTATAAAAACTTCGTAAAAATGAGCCTTTCAAGGATCCATTCACGGAAATGTGGATAATTCAAACATGATATATAAATCATATAAGGTTATTAATTCCGGAAATATGAGCCTTTTACGGAAAAAGATGGAATATAAAAACGAATTGACTTTTTTACAAGGAGAGATATTCCGATACCCTTATATTTAATGAACACAAAATTATATGGACTTATTAGACTCTCATGATCACACTATAAAATCAGGTCAATCAGCCATGAGTTTATTTATATTCTATTTAATGATTTTAATGGCTTGGTTTTTTGTATGAAAAATTAATTATATTAATTATTTGTCATGTAAATGATATCTCAATTATGTATTGAAAATTCAACAAAATTTTACTGAATTATCAAAATATTCAAAAATATTTTGAAATAAATTTTTAATAATTATTCTTTTCAAAAATTTATTAATATATATCAGTATATCAAATATCAAGTCAGGCTAATGATTTGCGTGGATTACGTAACCTGAGGCCTTTTGTTATATTTAAGAAATTAAGGAGTGCTTATTTTCGTAACATCAAACGAACTTTGAAATAATAGTACATATTTTGGGTCTAAACACAATTTCTTGTTGCTTCAGCATATGAAAGCCTTATTGCAGGCAATGTTGTACCTTTCATTAAAATTCTAAAAACCTTTTTATTGACAAGGTCACAAATGTCTTTATCTTCAACAGATGAGCCTGTACTTCAGGTAATTGTGGAAAATTTTCTGCCACTAAAATATTGTGTTCCAGAACTTGCATTGGTAATAAATGGTAAAAAGCCAAAAGGATCAGGTATTCCCAGACGCAACAATTGATAGCACGAGTCACTGTTATTTTTTAATGATGTTAACAGAAAAAATCCTAAAGAAACTTCAACATGCCAAATATTGGAAGTAAAGAGGGGGAAGTGGTTTCATGGGACTTGTATTACTTAAATACTTAAAAAATGCTCTAATGAAACAAATGAAAAAAAGCTGTAGTCTTACAGTGCCCTTGCAAGTGTTGTTCAAATAAAAAATGAAAGAAGGACATAAGTAACAAACATAGTAAGTATAATATGCTCCGTATACTGCAGATATGGGGAGAGCATCCAGTCACATTACTATGAGTTTCTCATGCTAATTCTGGAAGAGGAATCATACTAAAGTCTGGAGTCCAAAAAAAGAAAAAAAATAAGCATAATGAAAGGAGAATATAGCTCCTGCTGTTGGTAAATTCTCGTTTTTTTCAATAAAATTTTTTGTTATTTTTTAATGTATACTAACAAATTACATCATCAAAGTAGAGTTTTGATAAAATGAAAGTTCTTGATTTGTGATGCTCTCATTCGACCACTCAATACTGTCTTAAACAAGTGGATTAACTTATATCTCTCATTCATGTCTTTTTACAAAGAAAGAAATTTCCTCATTTGCTGAATTTATTCATGATGAACATGGCAGTAATCTAGCAAAATACATTTCCTGTCTACTTATTGACATGTTTGAAAAGCAGATCTTAAATGACGCATCAGAGGATAGGATACATTGGAGAATAGATAGTTTGATCAGGATCCTGCTCCAGATGTTGCGCAAGAGTCTTATAATTGTACAAAAATATAAAATTACAGTCGTTACACTCGGTTTATTACTCTTCTTTACGATCTTTGTATAAAATTTTTTTTTCTTTTTTTTTTTCTTTGCGATATGTTTGGTAATTAATGATTAATATGGACCATCATATAACTTCAACAATATAAGAGAATGATATGAAAGCTAATTAAAATCTTAAGATGATTAGTTAAAGAATTTAGAGAAGATGCTCAAAAAAAATAAAAATATTAATTGTGGCGAAAAGTAAATTTTGCCAAAAATTTGGAATATCACATGATTAGCGCAGTAAATTCAGCCCACACACACTACGATGAGTTTGGCCAGCATTAGTTTTGGTTATCGTCGTTATCGTAACAAAATTATGAATTTTGAAAATCAAAAAAGAATTTTTTTTTTTTGTAGCTACAGTAAGTGTTAAAGAACATTTTTGTTCGCCATTTTTGCTAAATTAAAAGAAACCACAAAATTCTCTAAGAGTTCTTAATATTCGACATCATACGAATAATGACAATTTACAATATAACATTGTTATTGCGAAATACATCTTCATCTTCAATCGAATAACATACTCAGATACAGTATTACGGTGTGGTAGATCGACATCTTGTTTCAAAAATTAAAAATCATTATTTATGGAACAAAATCATTTGATAATATTTTTAACTAAAAATATTTTATATTTATTAACCATAAAATCATCATCCCCTTTTTAATCAATATTCAATTTAATTGATGGATGGAAATTTTTTAATCTGAAACTTGAAAATTTTTGGAAAGAAGTGAGAAGAAAATCTTTAGAATTTTTTTTCAAAAATAACATTTATTTACATTTATCTTAAATCAAATTATATTTTTAAATATTCTAGATGTAGGGATACTTTTGATAAATTAAAATATTCTTATTTTTCATCTTATAACAATACATTTAAAAACTCCAATATGTTGTTGGTATGATTGTGGAAGAGATCATTTGTTCAATTTTATTCAATAACACCATGTCCCAAACCTTACCAATCGGCCTAAATTAGGAGATCATTGTTGGTACAGTCTTAAGGCATTATTAGATTGGGCCAATAATTTAGGCCGATGGTAAGGTTTGGGACATGGTCAACAACAACATCCTCCCTTTAATAAAAAAATTTTTTTCACTTTCTTTAACCTAATTTTCATGTAGTATATATTTTAATAGTACTCTCTCAAAAATTTCATAATGACGTCATTGTTTTATATATTACGCAATTACTGCGTTACTGACTTTTTTTGTTTGATAATACCAAATACCAAAATCACGCTGTACTACATCGGAGAAAAAAAAAATTTATATAATAAGCACACACAATAAAACTAACAATTTTTACTTTTCATTTTTTTTTTTAACTTTCTGTTAACTTATTATTATTCAATACGTTCGATAATATCAAAATGCAAGATACTGAAAATACAAATGAATGGGTTAATTGGATTGAAGAAGCAGTTGATAAAGAACATTTAAAATTTTATAAATATGAAGAATTTAATAAGATTCAATGTATTGGTACTGGAAGTTTTGGAAACGTATATCGTGCAAATTGGAAAAATTCAGAAAAACTATTTGCGTTAAAATCTTTTTTTAGTCTTAATAACATCACCATGAAAGAAATAGTTCGTGAGGTATTTTAATGTATAATACATTTTTTTCTATCTATGAAATTTTATCTAATACCTATCTTTATTTCAAATATTTTTATTTTTTATTCAGTTAAAAATTCAACGCCAAGTTGATTTTCATGATAACATTATTCGTTACTATGGAATAACAAAACTTGAGTCAGGTATTATTAACATCACCTTGTATAAATATAATACGCAAAATTTTACAAAAGTTCATTTTAATTATTTCTTTTATTCATTAGAAAATCATAATAATTATGGATTAGTAATGGAATACGCTGACGACGGTACTCTTCGAAGTTATTTAAAGGAAAATTTTAACAAACTTACTTGGGATGATAAATATAATATGGCATACCAGTTATCTTGTGCCGTATCATGCTTACATAACGAAAGAATAGTACATCGTGACTTGGTAATTTATTTATTATTTAATCATTAATAGTAATGTATTTTGTATTATTAATTTAAAAAAAATTGTTTATACATGTTTCTTTAATAGCACTCCTGTAATATACTAGTCCGTAATAACACAATCAAATTAGCAGATTTTGGATTATCTCAAAGAATTGGAGCATCATCCAATTTTCAATCTAAATTATTTGGTGTGATTCCTTATGTCGATCCAAAAAGCTTTAGTAGACGAAAAAATAATAATAATCAATCAACACAAATGTACTTATTAAATGAAAAAAGTGATATTTATAGTATAGGCGTATTATTTTGGGAAATATCTAGTGGTCAACCTCCTTTTTATGTTGAGGATGAACATTATGATGTTGGTTTAGTTGTGGAAATTTCACAAGGTCTTAGAGAAATTGTTGTTCCTGACACTCCTGAAGAATATGTTAAAATTTATACTAGTGAGTAAAATTTAAAAATTTAAATTCTACATTTTTATAATTTAAAATATTATTTTAATTAAATCTTAAATTACATTTATTTCTTAGAATGTTGGGATGGGGAACCAGATAATCGTCCAACTATATATCAAGTAGTTGATTGGTTAAATGCAATAATTACAAAATCAGATGTAATAATAGAAAATCATCAAATGTCAAATGAACAAGAACTTAATGAGACTTCTTTAAGTACTAATAATTCAGAATTACAAGGTCAACTTATTCAAAATTTTGATAAAATGATTATTAAAGAAATTGGTCCTATGGCAATATCAAGTAAACAAGAAAATCATTCAACTGAAAAAGATTTTAACATTATGGTTGATGATAATTGGTCATATGTGATGGGTATAACACCATCAACAGCTACGCAAGTGGCTAGCCCAATATCTCCCGTCAGTGTGATCAATCCTAATTATTCCTATCCTATACAAGACGAAGAAGAAGAAGGTGAATGGTTAACTGAAGATGAACAAGAGGAGACTCCCGTCAGTGTGATCAATACTAATTATTCCCATCCTATACAGGACGAATAAGAAGAAGGTGAATGGTTAACTGAAGATGAACAAGAGGAGATAGTTTTAGACTCGTCAAGCGCTGATATAAAAAAAGAAGGATTTTAATTGCTTAAAAGTAATATTATTTTTTTTTCGGTATGGCTATAATTAACAAGAAAAAGAATAAAATTTAATATCATGAGATCTTAATTAATTAATTGCCTCAAATTTTATTATATTCATACTCCTTTAATTCTTCTTTCATCGGTCTTTCTGTTTCCTGATATATTACTTTCAACGATTGCCCCATAACTATAAATTTTTGTCTGTCTAAAATTTTTCTTCTTTACTATCTTCTATCACGCGATTATTTGTCTCTTTTTTATTTACTTGTCTAAAGTCTAAACTCATTAATTATCTGTACCACCTCATCATAAATCGTATTTTCATCTAACTTCTTTGTTTATTCATTATGGATGTTTTGGTGTAATAAGAAAAAAAAAATTTTAACTATTGTAGTAAAAAAAAAACCGGGTAATCTCAGTCTGTTACACAAGAGCGCGATCGAATATATTTTATGCCTCGTATAATAGGATAGCATGTTTAAGGAGCGCGGATTAACACGTTGCTTTATTATCTTTTGTAATATGTAGATTAATTAAAACAATCTATTCTTATTCACGCGCTTCATAAGAGTTTTAAAAAAAAAATTCACGGATATTGATGTTATAATAATAAGGTTATTATGCATGTAAGTACGTACAATTAATATCCGATCTCTGAAATAATTTTTGCGCATTAAAAAAATCCTGTGCGTTTTGTTTCGTCAATAATCTTTTTTTTCATTATTATTGATATTATTTCATTTTCTTATTATTATTGATATTATTTCATTTTTCTAAATTACTCTAAATTTATGACGTTATGTCCAATCATTTTCCGATCATTTTCAAAAAAGAATATAATTTTAACGAAAAAAAATTTTTACAAGTACAGTATATGATTGATTATTACTTTGTATCATAAACTTAATGTTCACTATAAAAGATTTTAAATATATATTATATCACAATCGGATTTATATATTTTAGAGATAAATTTTCATATATTTCTTAGATAAAAAGTTTTATATAATCGTTTATATAATAATAAATAATTATAGACACAAAAACAATTAAGCAATGGCCCGATCTTAAATATGTCCATTCAACCTTTTCTTTTTCTGTTTCAAAATACTAAAACGCCAACAGAGTCAAAAATTTTTAATAATTCGTTTATATACTAATAATAAACGATTTTAACGCATCCATTCACGTCTTTTATTGTAAAATATACGTAAAAAAACAATATCTATACGTAATTTTGTGCAATGTTAAATATTTAAATACGTCGGTTTTGTATCTTTTTTTTATCTCCTACGCATATTATTGTTATATCCTCTTTAACATATGTTATACAAACGAAAATACCTTCTCAAAGAAGAAAGAAGATAAAGAATCGTAAGGCATTTTCGACTTAACATACTTATTAATAATGGAAGCACATTGAGGTTTGTCGCGAACCTTCAATTTTTCAACGGATTTTCTTTTTATTAACTCCAAAAAATTATAACTAATGAAAAAAATGAATAAATTTGGCAAGTAATTAATCAGAATTTTTTTGTTTATAATATAGTAATATAAATTGGAATACTATATCATTGTTTAATGGATGGAATAGAAAATTCAGGGCAATTTTATAGATAATAATAAATATAGTCTTCATTTGTTTAATGAAAATAAATTAAAAATGGTAAGTCCTTTTCTAAGTTTCATCTATATAATAACTAAAATTATCTGCTCGTTTCAAGATATGATCGTGTATTTCTGCATTTCAGGATATGATATCATTAATTCGTCATAATAAATTTCCTTTAAATAATTCTACCTTTGTTAAAATCTTAACAAAGGTCACAATCTATTTGACTTGGGGTAATATCAAGTCTCACCCATGGTGAGGAATAATTTTACCCTTTTTTATAATTACAAATTGATTTTTTTTTTTTTTAATCTCTAATAACCAAAAAACAATAATTTTTTTTGTCTCGAAAAAAAAATAAAAAAAAATCTCATCTGTTTTTTTTAAAAAAAAAAAAAAATTTTTTGGTTTATTATCCATGGTTGGAGAATAATAAGAAAGAAGGAGATAAAGGAAAAAAAAATAACGAATAAAGAAAAATAAAAAGTACACTTAATTATTAAATGTCCTGAGAGATTTATTAGCTGTTAGAATTACTTTTTAATTCTCTCGAAATTTAATATCTTTTTTAGACTAATCATTAAGATTAATAAATTATGCTTGTAATTCTAGTTCAGGCGATTCACCATATTCTTTTCGCCTCCCTTCTAATGCTGCTAATGCGTCTTCATCTATTGGTGTAGATGGTGTAGATGGACCATTAGATGGTCTCTTTGATCTTTGACCATTTGAACTCCTTCTCTTTACATACCGTCGAGTACTTTTCACGTGGTTGAAGATTTAACCAGCCGGAAGGTATTGGTAGTCTTGAGAAACTTACTCTATTATTAGATAATGGTGAAGAGAAGTAAGCTGCATCTTGATGATGAGCTAGGAGTTCCAAGGGTTCCTATTGATACTGCAGCTTCGACTACTGCATAAGCTTAACCTAATTTATGATTTCTCAGGCAATTATTATATTTCTTTCTTTATTAGGTTACCTAATTATAAAAATTTGTTAATCGTTTGATCATCTCTAAATTTATAGTAGACAATTAATTAAAAGCGTAATTAAATGAAATAAAGTAGTTGTTTATTTCGTCAAAGAATTCAATTAAATCTTTTTTTTTTTTTTTTTTTTTTTTTTTTTTTTTTTTTAATGATTTATATATGCTTTATTGATATGTAGTTTATATACCATACAAACAAATTATCATAAGCTATAAATTCAATTTAATCTAAATCATAAAAAATAAAATATTTAATTTGCAACTTCAGGATAATCTAAAAAAATATAAATTATTGCGGTACAATATCAGATATGTCTACTATTTTCATTTTTTTTTCTTAGAATATTACCCGCCTCCGGTTAAATCAATATAGTTTTTTTGAATTTTTAAATTTAAGGAAAAAAGCACTAAGTTTCATATAGTTATTAAAAAGAGTACATTTTCTCACTCTTTGACCCACTAACTTGAGTTCATCATATAACTTTTATTATTCAAACGAATGGCGCAGTAAAATTAATAAACTGGACGTTTTATAAAGGAAGATTTATAATTACTTTAGCTTATACTCTACTTTCGCTAAAATTTGACCAAAGTTATATTATTCTTAATTTAAGATTACGCGTAACTATAAATAATTTTTCCATTTTCCATTTTCGATTTTTTTTTCTGTCACTTTCAAGAAATCTTGAGGGAAGAACTATTACATTCATGTTTACTCATTGTTATTGACATTTTTAATAGAACTTTTATTATTTCGAAACAACCATTTTATGAGGCTTTTCCATATATTTCAATTAATTTTTCATGAGTAATAAATAAATTAATCAAATGTGTATTTGGTGATATTAATTATAAACAATTATTTAATATTTTCGAATATTCTGTATTGAAAAAAAAATCATTTTCATTTTCAACTCTAAAGTACTTCTAAAGTGTAATATTATATTCTGTCCTGAATGTCGAATTTTGATTAGGTAATATTAAACCTGAAAATTCATTATTTAATTGTCTAAGGAAAGTTAAAATATACTGTAAGTACTATAATTCTCAAAAAAAAAAAAAAAAAAAAATTTGGGAGTAATAAAATTTGTAACGTCAGAAAGATGATGATTTATTTATACAATAGAATTAAAAATTTGTCTTTATAATTTTATAGTGAATAAGATGTTAATGATAATAATTAAGAGAAGCTAATTTACCAAAAACTTCAAATCTTTCTTTACTAAATTTAATTATATAAGTAGTCGATTGAAATAATAAAACTACTTTTAAATATTTTAATAATCTTTTATATCTGCAGTTTTTTTGTACTATAAGTAATTTTTTCTATTTTGGTATTTATAAGGAATAATAATAATTGTATAAGGAATAAAAATGATGGTTAGATCATTTACTTACATACTGTATTTCACAATATTGAGTCCATATTACCATTAAATGGGAAAGAAAAATGTTAATAAAAATGCTAACGAATAACGATAATGTATATTATTCCTTTAAACAAAAATGGAGTGATTAAAAATTTAATAATTTTCATTTGATTTATTATTATATTTTCATATGGAGATTAGCTATCAAATTATTTGGATGAAGACATACTATCATGAATCATGTTGTAACATTCTATAAACTTTACACATCAATAAATTTTACGCATGGTCAATATAATAATGATCATTAAATTTATTTATATAATATAATAATAGTGTTGACATATCAGACAACAACAAGATGAACTTCAAGTTTATAATTGTAAACCTGTTAATTCTAAAGTGCAGATTATCCTTAAGTTACAACCCATATATATAAAAGTTGAAACAAATGAAATTGTGTTTGGGAATTATTAAATAAGTAATATAAAAAAGTAGAATACCTAAAACTCGAGTTAAGGAATTAATTGAATAGATGGGATGTATACAGTGAAATTTGATATAATGGAACCATCCATTCCATTAGTAAATTTGTCAAAAATCCATTATATCAAGAATCCTTGTTGTATTAAAGGTAAATTAATTATAGACTCTAATTCTGATATATCAAGATTTTACTTATCAGTATATCAAATTTTATTGTGTACAACACAACAAATTTTTAATGCAATTAAGTAATTTCTCAATAATGTAATACTTATTATACATACCTTAAAAATGAAGGAGATTTAAATAATAATTATTTTGGAAAAGCCACAACATAGTATTTATCTTAGTTCTGTTTTAAAGATAAAAATGTTATTGCTTTAACAGAAATAAGTGAGGTTTTATACAATCACTACAAAGACTACAAAAGATATAATTGTTGATACAAAGTTACAAATTGAAATTTTGCAAAACCACTGGTAGTTCATTAGCAGGAAAACTCTTTGAAATGTTGGTTCATGATATGATATATAAAGGTTAAGTAGTTGCACCATTCTTGAAGTTGAAAATTTTGAGTCTGTTATTAGTGCTATCTATTATGCCTTGTAATAACATTAATTATTAATATTATATAACAATAGTAGAAATACATAAGGCATTTGATGATGTTCTAAACATTATTAACAGACTTAAATTTTGGTATGGATATATGAAATTCTTTACTTATGGCACCACTAAATATGGAAAGTTGCATTGATAGTATGCTTTTTTCTTAAAACTGAAAAGCTTGCAATACATTTTGATTGCCATAAATTGGCCAGAATTCAATATCAGCCATTGAAATGAGTATAAAAAATTTTATATTATTTATTTTACTTTTATACATCGGAATGGTTTTATATACTTATATTATCATTTTGATAATTTATGTTTAATAATTGGAAAGCTAAAAAAAAGATTTATTTAAATTACAAACTAAGAAATTTGTAAAATAATTACTACTCTAGCCTTAGTGTTTAAATAATTCTACCAAAAAAAAAGAGAATACATATATGAATAAAATATAAAAAAAAGGAATTATTTAAATTACAAATTAAGAATCTTGTAAAATATTTTACTAGTACTCTAGCCTTAGTGTTTAAATAAATCTAAACAACAATTTCTGTTAAATGCATAACATCAAATACACTTAAAAAAAACTATAAATTCTTATAAAAACACAAATAATTGGTTATTTTTTATCTGGTTTAATATCTAAATAAATAAATAAATAAAATTAATTCACATAAATAATTTGCAAAATTAATATACTATATTACATACCTAATGACTTCAAATTAAATATACAATCATCCAAATCTTTACTTACTAGCATTTCGTTCACTTTTACATTAGCTTGTGAATCTTCACTTTCAAGAATTTCATTCACTTTTCCACTAGTAGATGATTGACTTAAATAATAAGCTTGTAAATTTCTACTTTCAAGAATTTCATTCAATTCTTTACTAGTAAAATCAAGTAAGCGACTTGTATAATATGCCTGTGAATGAGATATAGTAGCAAGGTTATTGTTATGCCCAATTGGTGCGTTTATAAATTCCATAATATTGTATTTTAATTCTTCATTAATATCTTCAACATTATATGGAGGAGCAATCCAATTTTCAATAATATTTAACACTTCTTTAGAAGATGGCCTTTTTAATGGATTTTCATCCCAACACTTTTTCATCAATTCTACATAATGCTGTGGAGTATTTTCAATAATTTCAGGACGTTCACCTTCACAAATACTTAAACTAAGTTGAATATCATGTGCTTTATTATTATATGGTGGTATTCCAGATGTAAATTCCCACATAATCATAGAAAAACTATATATATCACTAGCTGGAGTATAGGAATTTCCTCTTAAAATTTCAGGTGCCATAAATGGTATAACACCATAAATATCATATTTTTTCAAAAATGATTTTACAGGTTTACATAATCCTAAATCACTAATATAAATTTTACCCTTATTATGATTTAAAATATTACCATCATGAAAATCACAATGAATAAGCTCTTGTTTATGTATATCATAAAGTCCAGAAATAATTTCAAATAACATATATAATTTTTGATTCCAATCACTTTTGATTATTTTTGATAAGTTTCCTCTTAAATTACCTTCATTTGCATAATCCATTACCACCATATATTTCAAAGTATCTGGATCTTTTGTAAATCCATAAAAATAGATAATATAATATGAACTTAAACAACTTCCATGATATTTCCACTATAAATAATAATAATGATATATTAATATAAATAAATATTAATTTAAATAAAAAAATAAATAATATATTATCATACTTCATTTAAAAATTCATTTAAATTTTCACTTAGATTATTATGAAGTTTAAGAATTACTTCATTATCTTTATTATCATAAAACCAAGTAGCTTTGTATATTGTACCAAATCTTCCTTTATCAAGATACTCAACATTTTTAAATTTATCATAAGGAATCCATTTTAATTTTTTTTCAAAAATAAAATTATCCATAATTGTATTTCCACTTTTTCCTAATCTATAAATTTAAATAATCAAAATTATTATTAAAGTTTATATTAAAATCACATTAAAATTTAATCAACATTTACCCTAAAATTTAAACAGAAATTTAATATAATGTATATCTTAGTTATATACAATAATAACCTATATTTTAAAACTTACCAACTAAAGTAACAAAAATTTATATGAAAAGATTCAATTAATAATTATTTATAAAGTATATAACAATAGAAATAACAAATAACTTACAAGCTGTATTATCAAATTTTTAAATAAAGAATTTAGTTAGTTTAAATTATATACAAATATTATATAAATAAGTAATAGTAGAACTAAATAAATAACTTACACCCTATAAATATTATTAAATAATTTTTTAAATAAAGAATTAGTTAGTTTAAATTATATGTAAATATTGTATAAATAAGTAATAATAGAATTAAATAAATAACTTACTTCCTATATTATTAAACAATAATTTTTTAAAAATAAAGAATTTATTAGTTAGTTTAAATTATATGTATATATTATATAAATAGTAATAATAGATTAAATAAATAACTTACTCCCTATTTTTTAAATAAAAAATTTAGTTAGATTGAATTATATGTAAATATTATAACAATAAGTAATAATAGATTAAATAAATAACTTAAAACTTACAATCTATTTAAATAAATAATTTAGGTAGTTTAAATTATATGTAAGTATTATATAAATATATAGTAATAGAATTAAATAAATAACTTATAGTCTACCAACTAAAAAAATTACAAAATGATTTTTTTGTAAATATTATATAAATAAGTAATAATACTATAGAATTAAATAAATAACTTATAACTTACAATCTATTTAAATTAAGGATTTAGTTAGTTTAAATTATATGTAAATATTATATAAATAATTAATAATAGAATTAAATAAATAACTTATAGCCTACCACCTAAAAAAATTACAAAATAATTTTTTAAGTAAAGAATTCAGTTAGTTTAGTTTAAATTATGTGTAAATATTATATATATAAATAAGTGATAATACTGTAGAATTAAATAATTAACTTATAACTTACAATCTATTTAAATTAAGAATTTAGTTAGTTTAAATTATATGTAAATATTATATAAATAAATAATATTAGAATTAAATAAACAATTTATAACTTACAAACTAAAGAAATTACAAAATAATTTTTTAAAAAAAGAATTTAATTAGTTTAAACAATATGTAAATATTATATAAATAAATCATAATAGAATTGAATAAATAACTTATAACTTACTAACTATAATTTTTTAATTAATGTTTTAGTTAGTTAAAATTATATGTAAATATTATAATAGAATTAAATAAGTAACTTACAATCTATTAAATAAAAGAAATTAGTTAGTTTAAATTATATACAAATATTATATAAATAAGTAATAATAGAATTAAATAAATAACTTACTTCCTATATTATTAAATAATTTTTTTTAAATAAAGAATTTAGTTAGTTTAAAATATATGCTAAATATTATTTAAATAAGTAATATTTAAATAAGTAATAATAGATTAAATAAATAACTTATAACTTACCAACTAAAAGAAATTACAAAATAATTTTTTAAATAAAGAATTTAGTTAGCTTAAATTATATAAATATTATATAAGTAAGTAATAATAGAATTAAATAAATAACATACCATCTATAAAATAATTTTTGAATAAAGAATTTAGTTAATTCAAATTATATTAAATTATATAAATAAGTAATAAAATAACTTATAACTTACAATCTATTTAAATAAAGAATTTAGTAAGTTAAAATTATATGCAAATATTATATAAATGAGTAATACTAGATTTATGACTTACGATCTATTTAATAAAGAATTCAGTTAGTTTAAATTATATATAAATAAGTAATAATAGATTAAATAATAACCTATAACTTACCAACTAAAGTAAATTACAAAATAATTA